ATTGAACCTCGAGGACTCATTTACAAGAGAGACCTGATTTCAACAAAGAAAGATGACAACAATGGACAACAAGACAACAATAAACAGTTATATATATATATATATATATATATATATATATATATATATATATGTATATGTATATGTATAGAAAATCAAAATCAGTTAAATGTGAACGTTAGTGTCTTTATTCAGAAAATCCACACGTCACATTTCATGATCTGGTTATTATAGACACAGACTAAATGTTAAATATGAATATTTCTAGAATTATCACTACAGTAATATTGTTACACACATTAGTAGTTGTAAACACCATTATATTTGTGTCTGATAAGAAACAGTCCTCTTTTACTGATCAGGCACTTTTATTAAAGCTCTGCTCACAGAATTCTTACTCTCTTGTCTATACTTCACATTTATACATTCACATGGACTCGTGACTGCTACTTAATGGACACAAGTATAATACATCCAATCATCACAAACACTCAAAAGAAGAATATCGTGATGCATGCTCAATGGTCCAGGTAGAAAAATCTAAAAAAAGTTAAGTCTGGTCCTCTGGACATTCAAAAACCAAAACAAAGAAAAAAGACTTCTTGAGTCTGAGGTGCTGTATTCAACTCAACAGAATGATGGTTTAGTACTTACCTTTAAGGAGGAAACATTTATAATAATCATGTTAAAAGTTACAAATGTTGTCTTAGGTGACTGTTCGTTTTCTAAATATATTAGTGTGTGAATGACAGGGATCAATTTCAAACACTTTGTAGGACGATGCTTTTTGAAGTTCACTCCATTTACTTATATTAATTGACCGACAGTTCTGCCACATCCAATATGGCGGACGCTGTGACGTAGTTACGACGCGCCAGCCCGCTCAAAGAGGCGTCTACGTATACATGTCTATGTATATATGCCTCTGTCTATGGTTTCATTGTTTTAAACAAAGTTTGGACAGATTTTAATGTAAAGGCAAATATTTAGAGTCAAAAATCGGTTTAAGCACCGAGTAAAGTCAGGAATACTTTTGTTTTTACATGATAAATTTATTAATTTTAAGCAAAAATTAAAATATCACCGGTGCAACATGTTTACATTTAAATAAATATATTTTAACTAACATGCAGCTTTGAGTCAACACTGAGCTGAAAATCACAGATCGTCACGGTCACAGATCAGTCGTGCTGCTGTTCAACAACAAGTTCTCTGAACATGGACGCACCATTATTGTTGTTTACTGGTCAATATCTTGCACAAACATCTCAAGCTCTCCACCTTGACCTCTCCGAGTGGCTTCAAACATCTGACAAGTTCCTGCAAGAACCAATGCAGACATGTTCCTGTTTTTAGTTTTCTACACTGCCTTATAATCGATCTGTTTTTGAATACCATTTTATCTGTTCTTCTCAGTTTGAACGCATCCTTTATGATCGTTTATTGTTGTCATCACTCTGTTAAATCAGCTCTCTCTTGTAAATGAGTCCCTGACACTCAGTGAGACCAACCTGTACAAACAAAGGTTGAATAAAAAAACATTCACAGGCATCTGGTTCTGCCTCCTTTTATTCTTGTGGATCAGTTGTTTGTACGTCTGACAGGACGAGTGTTTTTAGAGTTGTTGAACTTGGTGCTTTTCCTCCTGAAGTTCAGACTTTTGTTCAGTATTTTATCCAAAGACGAGCAGAAAACGATGAAACAAAGAGCAGCGTGACAAACGACACAATTCATCTTTAAACATGAAGCAAAGGTAAGAACAAGTCCAGACTTTCTGCAACACCGACTGTGGTACGGGCACCGTATAAATACTGGATTTTACTTGTGGCATTGGAATGATGCAGGTACTGTATAATTCCTGGTTTATCATCTCAAGTGACCGTAACAAAGTTTTTCTCAGATTTCTTGTCTTCATGCAGAACAAACATGCAGTTTCTGTAAACTTCTGATCCAGAATCCTTTATATTTTCCCTCCAATTATCCAGGTCCTCCTGTGGTTCTGGATCAGCAGTTGTCCAGACTTTCTGTATCTTGTGGTTTTGACCTTGGTCTAAAAGTATTCTGATAAATAAGAGGCCGCGCTCCAGCAGCAGCAGGAGCTGCTCCGCCATCTTTCAGACGACTGTATGAACATAACCTCACTGTATCTCAATGATAACGAAGCTCGTTCTGATTCTGACGGACTCATAGGTTCAGCTGGTGGACCTGAACTTTGTCAGCAGAACCACTTTAATATATCAGACGTCTGGCTGTTTGGAAGGACAATGGAAAAAGTGGAGAACCGGATCAGAACTTTTACAGACTCAAGTATCAGAATAAAGACATGTTTCAGTTCTCTGACTCCGGTTCTGCTGGAAACAGATTCTTCTGGACCTTCTGCTTGAGGACAGCAGGAGCTGAACTCAAGTGAATTTGGTGATTTGATTTTGGCAAATTAAGAACTTTAACATTTAAGTCATCTGTCAGAACCGGGACGTCTGCAGACTACTTCAGATGTTTAAACTGACAAATGCGGTGTAGGTCCTGGTTGCTGCACCAGAGTCCCAAATTGACCCCTGACCCAGAGTCCCAGTCAGAGTTGGAGTCATAGTCTGAGGCAGGGTTGGATGAAAGCAGCCGTACTCCAAGATGGACTCTAAAGTTTCAGCTGAAGTCTGGATCCCTAGTCGGAGTCTGGAGTCCCAGTCGGAGTCTGGAGTCCCAACTGGAGTCTGGAGTCCCAGTCGGAGTATGGAGTCCCAGTTGGAGTCTAGAACCCCCGTCGGAATCTGGAGTCCCAGTCGGAGTATGGAGTCCCAGTTGGAGTCTGGGGCCCTAGTCAGAGTCTGGAGCCCCAGTTGGAGTCTAGAGTCCCAGTGGGAGTATGGAGCCCCAGTCGGAGTCTGGAACCCCCATTGGAATCTGGAGTCTAGAGTCCCAGTCGGAGTCTAGGGTACCAGTTGGAGTCTGGAGTCCCAGTCAGAGTCTGGAGTCCCAATTGGAGTCTGGAGTCCCAGTTGGAGTCGAGTCCCAGCCGGAGTCTCGGGTACCAATTGGAGTCTAGAGCCCTAGTCGGAGTCTGGAGTCCCAGTCAGAGTCTGGCGCCCCAGTCGGAGTCTGGAGTCCCAGTGGGAGTCTGGAGTCTCAGTCGGAATCTGGAGTCCCAGTCAGAGTATGGAGTTCCAGTTGGAGTCGAGTCACAGCCGGAGTCTGGGGTACCAATTGGAGTCTAGAACCCTAGTCGGAGTCTGGAGTCCTAGTCGGAGTCTGGAGCCCTAGTCGGAGTCTGGAGTCCCATCCAGAGTCTGGAGTACCAGTCAGAGTCTGGAGCCCCAGTCGGAGTCTAGAGTCCCAGTCGGAGTCGAAAGTCCCAGTGGGAGTCTGGAACTTCAGTCGGAGTCTGGAACCCCCATCGGAATCTGGAGTCTAGAGTCCCAGTAGGAGTCTGGGGTACCAGTTCAAGTCTGGAGCCTTAGTCGGAGTCTAGAGCCCTAGTCGGAGTCTGGAGTCCCAGTCGGAGTCTGGAGCCCAAGTCGGAGTCCCAGGGGGAGTCTGGAGTCCCAGGGGGAGTCTGGAGTCCCAGTCGGAATCTGGAGTCCCAGTTGGAGTCTGGAGTCCCAGTCGGAATCTGGAGTCCCAGTTGGAGTCTGGAGTCCCAGTCGGAGTCTGGAGTCCCAGTCGGAGTCTAGAATCCCAGTGGGAGTCTAGAATCCCAGTGGGAGTCTGGAACTTTAGTCGGAGTCTGGAACCCCCATCGGAATCTGGAGTCCCAGTCGGAGTCGGAGTCTGGAGCCCCAGTCGGAGTCTGGAGTCCCAGTTGGAGTTTGGAACCCCCGTCGGAATCTGGAGTCCCAGTCGGAGTCTGGAGTCCCAGTTGGAGTCTGGAGCCCTAGTCGGCGTCTGTAGCCCCAGTCAGAGTCTAGAGTCCCAGTCGGAATCTAAAGCCCCAGTGGGAATCTAGAGCACCAGTCGGAGTCTGGAACCCCCATAGGAATCTGGAGTCCCAGTCAGAGTCTGGAGTACTAGTTGGAGTCTGGAGTCCCAGTCGGAGTATGGAGCCCCAGTCGGAGTCTAGAGTCCCAGTGGGAGTCTGGAACTTCAGTTGGAGTCTGGAACCCCCATCGGAATCTGGAGTCTAGAGCCCTAGTCGGAGTCTGGAGTCCCAGTCGGAGTCTGGAGCCCCAGTCGCAGTCTGGAGTCCCAGTGGGAGTCTGGAGTCCCAGTTGGAGTCTGGAG